CAAAGGTAAGAACTTATTTTTAATTATTTACTTTAATAAATTTGTAGATTTTAATTCTTTATTTTATGACACTTTTAACCTTTTACATACATTTATGAATTAAAAAAAATAACCCCTCATCTTTATGAATTGGAGAAAATAACCTTTATTTAATGTCAATTTATAACTTTGATTAGCTATTAACATTTCGTTAGCTTTATTTTTGTCATTGTTAATAATATATTAGTTGACTATTAATGAAATATTAACAATTAAATAACAAATATTATAATCTCACAATAAATAAAGGTTATTCTTTTTAATTCGTATAGGTGAATAGTTAAAAATATTATTATATAAGTTAAGGGATTAAAACATGTAAATTTATTAAAATAATAAATTAAAAATATATTTTTACCATAAACAAAAGGGCATCTCATGGGCATTTTCTGGACGCAACATATAGAAGCTACACCGCTTACGAAGTCAAGGCTTCTTTGTTGGTGGCAGTGCAGACTCCAGACATACAAAATGACCCAAATGGCCATAAAAGATAAGAGCCGCTTTTCTTGCTTTTCTTATTTCGTCCTTTCTTGGACCGTCGAAAATCTTTCTTTTTCTCCTTTCGTATTCCACGAAAAGAGAAATAAATTTTTTTAGTAAAATTTTAAGGACACACAAATAAAATTTTAAGGATTAAATTATTAATAAATAAATACTATTTTATAAATTAAATTTAAAATTTAAGTATTTGAATTAACGCACTAAATTAATGAATTATAACACTTCTGTGAGGGAGAATCCAGCCATCTTGATATCCCACATGATAAGGAGAAATAAAAATCATCTGCAGCTGCGCTTGGGGCCATCGATCCCCATCGATCTAGCTGGATTCTTCTCACGGCTGAAAGTGTTTGAACATCCCTTTTTATTTATTGTTCTATATTTTCTGACCATATTAAAGATATGAAAAAGATTTTGTGTAAGTCAAATTTCACAATAGATTAGGTACCCGTCAGAGGCCGATATTGAGGGCCCTCCCATCACGGACTGAGCCAATGCAGGATAAACTTTTGAACAACATTTAATATAGTGCGCCAATTTTTATTTGTTAAAAGTTTTGTTTTTATAGAGTGAATTTTAATAACCATTTTAAATATAGAGAGACCATTTGAGATCTAAATAACGAGTTTTCAAAAAAAAAAAAGATATGGTTCATATAAAATGAATTTTATGTCAATTTGATTAATTAAAAATTAGGATTTTTAACATTTTCTCACCTATTAAGTAAAAAAAAAAAAAACTTTAATTATCTACTTAAACAACTTTAAATTTGATGTTTTCTTTAGTACTTTTTTTATTTTTTTCCTTAACATTCTATGTAATAATTTACAATTTTTTAGCATCTATCTATGTTTTTTGAAAGAAATATTCTAGTATTTTTTATTTTATTCTTCAATTTAATATTGTATGATTTACTATTGTGATATTTTATTTTTTTTCTTTTAATAAATACTTTTATTTCTTATTTTTATTAAGGATATATCAATGGATCACAAGTAAATCTTTTAATCAAGGAAAGAAGATTTAAAAAAAAATAAACTAGTATTTTGAAAAAAAAACTTCAACAATAATTTTCACCTCTTCTAACCAAGTTCTTCATTTAATATCTGAATTATAAAATAAAAATCTCATACCATATACAAAACAATTTTATAGAGTGCGAAAGAGGGTGGTCGTTTCCAATTCCAGGCAGAAGTACTGGCTACAGACTGGGCTAAATGCCCAATTAGTTGTTTTGCAGTAGAGTGTTGATGACAAAATGGCTAGCATTAACAAATGACAGGAATATGAAAACACGGGACTAAGCAAAGCGTGATATCAAAAATGGTAAACAAATATAAAGGCGAGGTTATGAGAACCACTAATTTATTAAGATTATAAATTTTATAAGGCGAGGTTTTGGGGGTCTATTAAATACGTGGCAGCCACATCATTAGACACGTCACCACATCAGATTAAAGAAGTCATGTCGTGCCCACCTCAAGGCCTTTATGCCACATAATGTCTCATCCGAGAGAGTTTGATATGCACGTGACTTGGCATTACACGTTTAAATTTATTGCTGCTATAAAAATTAATACACGTTGTTAACCATGTAAAGAAAAAATGCCTAGGAAACAAATAAGAGAGTTTGGCCAATAAAAAACTATTTCCCACACCGTTCTAAACATTCCATGTACCTAGCTAGCTAGCTAACATACCAATTCAATGTGTATTATGAACCTAAAAGTATGAATTTTCATTTTAATCCAACAATACATGAATTTAATTAATAAAGGAAGCTGCTAGGACTTACCCAGTAAAACCGGTACGTAAAGTCTCATACATATCCAGCTATTGGAAAAGAAAAAACACTTGGCGATGTCGCACATACAAAAGACTTGCAAAGAACGATTAACGTTAAATATGAAAGACACCAATTGAAACTATATCTAACAGCATAATATTTAAAGGAACGAGTAAAGAAACACCTTGACACGGTTGCTAAAAACTGGTAGGCTAGTTTTACATGCAACAATGGTTGTTGGTAAACATATTAACACTAAGTTCCCCCTATTTTGGTGCCCGAAGTGCTGCTGATGGAGAAATGAGAGTCTCCATTTGGCAGATGGCAGTAGAATGTTAAGGCAGTTCTAATTCTTGGTTTCATGCTGCCACAAACATGAAGCAAAGAGCACGGATCGTCAGCATCTATTGTAATATTAATCCTTACCCCTGTTAGAATTCTGCAAACCAACTTGCAATCAGATAACAACACAACATAGGACAAATTGCTGCTGACCTTCAACTTTCAGTTGAGAACAATGACGTACAGAACAAAATTGACTAAGCAGTGTCAACAAGTATGAAATGGAATATGAATGCATAACACCCACCAAGGCAGGTACACCATACTGACGTAGAGATATGTAGCACTGTTCC